GGAAAGCAGTTGTAAAGATAAATAGCACCTGCACGTGATAATCTCTAATGTCATTAGAGAGGAAAGAAGGATGTGTTTTGAAACAGAATTTCTTTCTTCTGAAAGCATCACTTTACTTCAGGGGGCTTATGTGAGTGTGTGTGTAACTGAGAGGGGGTTTCTTTATGCGTGTGTGTGGTTTTTTTTTCCCTCAAATAAACATCCAGACATTCATCTTGGTTATAACCTTAATAGTTATAACTAAGGGAAAAGAGGAAAATAAACCAACTCCAAACACCCAACACTAAAGAAAAAGATCTTCTCACGATTCACTTGTGAGAAAGATTTTGTATATTGAGATTTTGCTTGAATTCAGTAATGTTCACTTTAAGAAACACAACTGCTCTAATTAAGGGAAAAGAAAATTATTTTCCTCAGTTGTTTCTTTTCAGTCTTTATTCCTTATCATCTAACTTAAATTTCATGAACTACTTGTTCAGTAACTGTTCACTGTATTACATGCAGTTGAATACTTTTTTTGCAGATGGAAACTGAGTGGGAGTTTTGAGGGCACAGTACTATAGAAATAAACACCCTCAACGAAAAAAATGGTTCAACTTAAGTGCACGTGTGTGTGTGTGTGTACATATGCACACAGATATATACTTGTATATTAGATACAGAGTATGTGTAATTTATGTACATATACCATGTAAACTCACCATGCCTGCACACAAATAGTAAAAAAAATAAAATAAAATAACTGTTCCCAGTAACAGTGCTGGAACAAGATTTCAAATGCATAAGATTATCCATATTAATTTATGGTAATCTACAAATGAATGCTGCAGAGACAGTACAGGTTATCCAAAATGGTACTTGCATTTAATGAGAAACTACCACAAAATATCGTCAAGACAGATTTAGTTGCATCTTCTAATACTCCCGAATTAATATCATGCAAAACACAAAGTACAAGCTGTGTTTCCCCTTTGGAACAACTGGCTCTTGAAATGCCAAAAGAAAGCCAAGCTTTTCTCTCCATACAAAGTCCTCTTAGACAGCTCGCTTTCAGATTTCATCAACTTAGGTGTTTTCAGGGCTGTAAGCAGTGAACTTTCCATCAGCAGCATCTTCAGCTAATTAACCCTCCTGATTACAATAATTAGTATTGATTCACTCCTGAATGACTTCTTAAGTATTCAAGCACAATCTACACTTGCAGTAAAATTTCTAGATATGAATATTAATTGAATGCTCTCCTTTGTTTTTCAGCCCCAAAGGTATAGTTTGCAATCTTATATAGAATCATAGAATCATAGAATAATTTGGGTTGGAAGGGACCTTTAAAGGTCATCTAGTCCGACCCCCCTGCGATGAGCAGGGACATCTTCAACTAGGTCAGGTTGCTCAGGGCCCCGTCCAACCTGGCCTTGAATGTTTCCAGGAATGAGGCATCTACCACCAATCTGGGCAACCTCTTTTAGTGTTTCACCACCCCCATCATAAAATATTTCTTCCTTATATCTAGTCTGAATACGCCTTCTTTTAGTTTAAAACCATTACCCTTTGTCCTATCGCAATAGACCCTACCAGAAAGTTCATTCCCATCTTTCTTATAGACCTCCTTTGAGTTCTGAAAGGCCACAATAAAGTCTCCCTGGACCCTTCTCCTCTCCAGGCTTAAGAACCTCAACTTTCTCAGCCTTTCCTCATAGGAGAGGTGCTCCAGCCCTCTGATAATTTTTGTGGCCTTCTCTTGACCCACTTGAGCAGGTCCATGTCTTTCCTGTGCTGAGCGACCCAGAGCTGGACACAGCACTGCAGGGGGGGTCTCACCAGAGCGGAGTAGAGGGGGAGGATCAGCTCCCTTGACCTGCTGGCCACACTTTTCTTGATCAGCCCAGGATACAGTTGGCTCATATTCAGCTTTTCATCCACCAGTACCCTCAAGTCCTTCTCAGCAAGGCTTCTCTCAATCCCTTCATGCTTAAGTTTGATAACAGAAATACTTCAGTTTTATTCTAATTTAACAAAGATAATAGTAACATGTTGATGTTAGAGATTGTGGTTCATGAATCTGGAAAAAAAAAATAAAGACAAAGACTCCAGGCTAGTAAATATATATAATACAATTCTATTTCCTATGGCAGCATGGAAAACCAGTTCTCAGGTTAAGACCTATCCTGCTCTTACTCTGACAGGTAGGACTGAGGACGGTCTCTCTTTTTGACATTACACCTGGTCATTGCAAGAACAAATAACAACTCATGTAGAGTCTGAATTAGCTCTCAGCGCTGTTTTGGAAGCAGATGTTGCCAAGTTTGACAACTGCAAGGCACCACATTGCTTTGTGAATAGGTGATATTCAAAACAGGTAATGGTAAGGACACCTGCGATGCTCAGGCATACGATCTCTAAACATATACTCTCAAAAGCTGACACTTTAGTTAAAGCATGCTAAGAAATGGCTTGTGCACAGATTTGCTTCACCTTCTTTGATAATAATAATAATTGTTATGGTTCAGAAAGTAATATCTTAGTAATGCATAGATTTTTTTTTTTTTTTTTTTTTTTTTTTTTTTTTTTTTTAATTAGTCTTTGATGTGAGTGCAATGTCAGAAAGTACCCTTGGAAAAGAACAAAGTAATTGGCAATCCAAGGCAAAAATCTGTAGTATGTATATTTTATGCAGCATTTTATCTGAAAAAATGGGAAGTACTGTAACTTCAGTATGAACTCACCCGTGAGAAGAGTGCTTAGGAAACAGTTTTACTATTGAACAGTCCTTAAGTGTCTTGTGGTGGCTGCCACAAAAGTGGCATTCACCCTACCCTGGGCAATCACTAAAGGGGCATTTCCATGTAACTGAGGGTGAGGCATTCAATTTATTGCTAGAAAGCCCAGGCTGCAAGAGGATAGCTTGTTAAAAAAATATTGCCCTCCCTGCCTCCAGTTCTGGTGGAGCAGAGCAGAGCAGTTGTGAATGAGTTAACGTCTGTCTTGAAAGAAGTTCTTCCAAGAAAGTGAATCATAGCATGGTGCCGTTATGTGAAACACCATCCTTGCTTTCTTCATGTTTATGCACAACACACAGCACGCAAGAACTACCTGATAATCCATAACCTCTAGGCTTCTAGAGTATTTTATGTGATATTACCTTTTTGTTCACACAAATACTTTCCTATTGATTTATACCATCTCAACACACAAGGGAAGGAGATGCAACAACAACAACAAAAATGCAAAACATCATAGCAAGTGCTCAGAGTCTCCCCATAAAACATCTTTTTGTTGAAAATACATGCTCTAAAAGAGCTCTGACCCTACCAATATATATATATATTTTTTTTTTTTTTTAAGAGGTCCAAGAGACCTGTATAAATCCATATAAATCATGCACTAGAATCCAGTTTAAAAAAAAGCATGAAACCCCTACAATTAATGGATCTAAGCAAAAAATGGGAAGCACCAGTATCTTTTTTCTCAGAAAATGATTACAATTATTACTAAAAGTAATGTATTTACTTAACATATAAAGTATTTAAAGACTTTAAACAGTTTCAGAAACTCCACAGACTGATGACAATTGATTTTATTTAAGACACAAGTGGCTGTTCAAGTAGTAACTCAAATTTTTTCAAAAGCTTTATACCAATTTCTTTTCATAATGTGTAAGGTGCATGAGCATTTTGCCAAATTCAAACCCAAAATTGTTAACTGTTCTAATGCTAAACTATGGCTGTCTAAACAGAAAGATAATTCATGAAATGTCATATGAATAATTTGTTAGATTTTAGGATAGGAATCATCCAGGTAAATTATTCTGCCTGACCTTAAAAATTCTAACGTATGCTAATAGCTGGATTATAAAAATGGAAAGTAACATGGGCTCCCACTTTGAGATGTGATTTATCATTTTTATTGCATTTTCATTACCTAAACAAAATTAGAAACAGTATCTTCAAAACAGCAGTTAAAGTTGATATGATCAGGCATAAAATCAGGCAAGGGCACATTTGGCAACCGTGTATTTGCCAGATTGACAGCAGTATTGTAAGCTTTCAGAATCAATAAGTTTTCTCGCCACAGTTAAAGGAGAGGTTAGTAATAAATCTCCAACTTAATGCAATAAGCATGATTGTAAAACGCAAACCTCCCCCTCCCTGCACTATTAACAGCAGATACCAAATGAAACAACCTTCACAAAATAGGCAATACACTTCATATTCTATCGTATATACAAAAAGGTTAAGCGAAATTAAAAAGGGGCTGAGAAAAGGAAAGAAAAAAAACCCAAACCACCCCATCGCCAGACATACATTAAGCTAGTTTGACAGCACCATTGTTCAGCTGTCCCATTGTCAGACCAAAAGATGTATTCAATGCTACAATGTCTGCTAGCAAATAAACAAAAGACTACATTTTTCAAAGCAGGGTGCCAATTCTAGCATAATTCTGGGTGTATGTGTGTGTGTGCGTGTGTCTGCATGTGTGTGTCTCTGAAAAGAGTAGTCGATGCTGGCACCCCGCTAAACCTTGGAACATTAGAGATTATATGTGTAATTCCACATATGGGAATATTTAGATATTTTTAAAACATCTTCAAGTGGTAAAGACTAGGTAGAGCGTTAGTAACTATTTACATAGGCTAAGTGAAAATTAAAGTGGTATTTAGGGCACTAGCTCTAATATGGAGTCTCCCTGAGCTTTTTCCATGCTTATTCCATGCCCAGTGCATAATAATGAAGCAGGCAGAAATATTGCAAATGAGGTGATAAAAGAAATACCAGCTCTCATTTAGGAAAAAAAAAATTATTTTTTTTTTCCTCCCTGCCCTCTCCATACATTTGTCGTCATACATGAAATGTGCGATTCTAACTAGTGGAAAATGCTACTTGCACACAGCAATGCCTGTCTTTTCCTTTAAATAAGGAAACTACTTAATACACAGCACGGTTATAGTTGCAGCGGGCCCAGGCAACTCGAAAGCACGCGTTAAAACAAAGGAGACAACATACCTTAAAAGCAGCTCCTCATTTCTCATAGTAACAGCGGATTTGGGACAGCGCATGCTTTCTGCACCGATATTCTCAACAAAAGCCAGTTCAGAAGTGCGCTCAAACATCAATGCCACAGTAGCTACTCACTAATGGCTACTCTTTCTCTCTTTCTCTCTCTAGTCAGACGCTGAGTGGTGGAGCAAAGGGGCCCCTGCAGATTCACTAAGCAGAAATAATCCTCTCTGACAAGTTATGTTGTCTGGGCATATTTTACATTAATGCACTGTGCTGCCTATAGGGGTCTTGTTTGCGTTCACTCTAGCCTAGCTGGTGTTAACTCTCTTAATTACCATCCAAAAAAAATTAGCAACACCACCACCACCACCACCACCCCCCCGCCAAAAAAAAACAAAACACAAAAACAACCAACAAACCCCAACCAACCAACATATCACTGAAAGAACAGGGGAAGAAAAATCTATGGGCAAATGAGGGAACTCTTTCCCCCTCTGGAGGGATGCATGCTTGATACGGATCTTTTGTTTGCCCTGTGAACTCGGTGAATACAGTGGCAAACAGATGCTGTGGCTCATGAGGTTTGTGCACTTTAAGGGAATTGGGTTAGAGGCTCTTTCTGGGGCTCTGGAGTCCCAGATGGAGCTCTTGCTCTCTCCCTCCTTCCCTTCCCTGTTCAAGGCTGAGTGGCTTTATGGGACCTGCCAGCTCACATCAGAGAGACTGGGGAGCATTAATGCAGGCACCTGGGGATCTTCTTCAAGTTTTCAGTTTTTCTTGGCAATTTTAACCCCTCCAAAACACGAGTCCAAAATCCCTCAAATTTTAACCTCTCCAAAACACAACTCATTAACTGAGTGTGCTTTAACCCAGACCCTTACACTTTGCTTTGGCAGAGTTCTCACAGATGGGAAAGGATGTTGCGTTATTTAATGATTTGCTCACTTCCTATGTATGAAAAGAACTATAGTGTGACACTGATTTCAGGGAAACAGCCTCTTTGGCCCCGCTTGGGAGATCCACCATGTAATTTGTAGAAACAGGTTGTGGTCTTCCAATGTAGTCAAAGAGAAGTTTATTTTCATATCTTGGTTTCAACTTCTGCTGTGTAAATCTTTAAACCATGGAGCTACTTTTCAGGCAGGAGGGTAGTTGGTGTTTTTTTTTGTTTTGTTTTGTTTTTTAATCTACATCCGACACTGGAGTAAGTGCTTATTTAGTAGACTGAAAAGTCAAGAAGGCCTTGATGCTTTTTTCAGTCAAGGGCTTCTCTGCACCCCTGTGACAGTAAAATGCATCTCAAAAATTACTGCCATTTCCTCTGAGGTCCTGTTAACGTGAGAACATGCAAAACTCACTAAACAGGAATTGTCCAAAATAGACAATTAGTTGGAAATCCCAATAAGAGTCAAATACATGGAGTCTGAAACAGACCTGGACTTCAAAACTTGAATTCAAACATTCGTAGAGTTCTGGCTATGTCTGTGGTTGGTCTGAACCTCTTTTTGTACATTACTGTCTTAAAATATACTGCTACAGTATCCTGATGCAGTGCTACTGCTTCTAATTCCTTAACAGAAGTTGGCATTTAGGGCCTTGATCTTTTTGGTAAACTCGAGTCTGGGAATGAAGGCAAAGAGGGAGCAATCACCAGTATAAATATACTGATAGCAAGATCTTGCCTTTCTAACAGCATCTGTAAACTTCTATTAAGGTTAATAAATTGTTTGCCACAGAAACGATCCTTTTGTTCTACACTTCTCGTGTGAGACCTTGGGATTGGTTTCAGTCATTCTGACATAATACTTGTCAAATGACAAGTTAAAAAACAAACCTAGGCATAATCTGCTTCAAATAATGTAGAGAGACAAAGAGCTGAAGGTGGTAGTTTAGGAAACACGGATATCATGAAGGACTGAAAGTCAAGAGAAGACAGGTTTCAATGCGCTTCCCTTTTCATCTGCAAAACATGACTGGGATTCTAGTTGCTCTTGTAATAAAAATAATAAATCATTTTAATGATTAGCAATTCAAACCAATTCTGTGTTAAAATGTCATGCTCCAAGGTCAACTGAGACAACATAGCTTGTACTTCATGCTAAAAATATCTGGACAGTCATGGAAGGCGGCCAGGAAAATACTCAACCAACATGACAAACCCCATACCTCCTGCCCCAAAGACTAAATCCATTACTACCATTTCAGGCATGGCCACCAGCACTCCAGATTCCTCCTCCTTCACTGTTCACCTCCAAATGACTTGTGCCCAGCATAACTCACCGTGACGCCTGGGCTGCTCCAGACCAGTCTCATGCCCGTGAGACTGATGTATGAGAAGAAGCAAATACCAGAGTATGCTACAGAATATACAGCTGAACGGGAAGTGTCAAACAGTCTGATAAACTGCTACAGTTTTCCAAAAATATGGCAAGGATCAGCATCTTAAGACACTACCAGCTGAGGGAACAAAGCTTTCTTTTCAGACTGGAGTAGAATGGCTCACACAGAGCCCTTTGGTGGGGAATCAATGGGCTTCTGTTGGGTGGCTCCACGCAGTTGCAAGTTCTTGATCGTTTCTGTACTTAGAAAGAAGGCGAAGCAGCAGCAATAGGAAATAAAATGAAGTATTATGGAAGGACTCATCTACGGCCAAAGGAATAAATAAAGAAAAAGAAAATAAAATCCACAAAGCGGTAACACAGAGAGACAAAAAGAACCTACGCTTTCTATCACACATAATGAAATGTCTGACAGAACAGCATCTGCAGAGGGATCACAGCTGCTGAGGATGAGAGGGAATATGAGTATTCTTTTTCAATTGTAAGATGTACTAAATAGGAGTGCCTTTAAAATAATATGGCTAAAGGGAAGATTAAGCCAGATGCACAGGGCTATCTGGCTTCCTTCAAGATGAAAGTCCAGCTGTGGAATTTAAATTCAACATGAAAATTGGTTGTAGATTCATAACTGATATGTCTATATTGCAGAATGTTCTGCACAAATTACATACAGTAGAAATTTACTACTTTCATTGCCCTGTATTTAATGTAAACCCAAGATTTCTACATATGGCCTATGAGTTTCTTAAACTAATTATGTTGTGTTGAAAATCCTTGAAAGGCCACAGGAATGCCAATTATTTACAGAGGCAAAATGACCAAAAATTCTGTGGCCAATCAATAACAATGAGTAATTTATATTAATTAAAAATATGCCTTCTGCTCTCTACTTCTACTTCAGATTATTCTTTGACCATTCCAATTGCATACAGATTTTTAAAACCATTCAGAAGTCAAAATGCAATGGCAGCTTGTTACACTAAACAAGTAACACTACCAGCCAAGCAATGAACTATATTTCATGACAGAGAAATGGTGAACAAGCGTCCAGGACAATAGCTCAAAAATCATGAGTGCAATCATGAGAAGAATAGAAAGCCTTGATTCATTTTCTCATTTCACCACACATCCCTGTGTCAGATCTTATGCAAGCCAATTAACCTCTTGCTCACATCTCCATCTTTAAAATGGAAAAACCCAATAAACTTCAGGGCAGTGTGACAATAATACAGAACACTATAAACTGTATAAAACAGCGTATTATTGAGTCACATAAAAATTGAAAATAGGTCTTCTCAAGAGGGACTTGCAGTCTAAGTCTCAGTTATCTGCTGGTCTGTCCAGTTATTTAGGCTCAAATAACATTTGTTTTGTACACGTGTGAAAAGCTATTGTTTAATCTGATAACATTTTGCTGTTTTAGACGGCTAAATCCCACCTTTGAAGTTGAGCAATTAGTCTAAGCTAGTCATCTAGGGTTTCTCCACTGTCAGTGAGATTAGTTATACTAAAGAGCATTACCATCTCTCTCCATTGACTACAAAGGGATTAGATTCCTAACTTTTCGATACATATATTAGGCGAGATGAATCCCACCAACGTGTCTAAAGCGAGGGTGAGAAACCCCATGTTTCCATTTCAGCACTGCCAGCGTGTGTCCCTGTGCTCCACCGCCAGCACGCCGGGCTCACCGCCACCCTGCGCCAGCTCAGCTCAGGTTCCTTGAGCACGTCTAGCACTTCCAAACGCAGCTGTAACCTGCCTGCAGGAGTCTACAGCAATCAAGCTGCAGCTAGGCAAGACTTCCAGGTCAGAAGCAGACCTGTATGTTATACTGAGGCAAAGTTTGAAGTAGAAAGAAAATTGTCCTCAGCTTGCGGAGACTTCCCAGGGTGTTTTGAGAAAGCAGACGGTTCGTTTAGGTATCTCCTCCTGAAGTCTCCTAGAAAAATGAGCAACTCATCACCGACAGCTCTTATGTTATTAGAAATTATGGAAGAGGAGACCACGTATTGTTAGAACTGGAGTACTCTGGACCACTTCGCTGGTGAATGTGAATAGAAAGAAATGGGCTGTAACTCAGAAGACTGTACCTCATTAGGCTTTACCTCTGCTCTTACTGAAGGTTTTGTTAATTTTTATTCAGGACAAATTACTGTATCTTTGTCTATGTTTCCTCTGTTGGCTTATGGGTTTTTTTTGTTTATACAGCTTTTAAGACAGCTGTATGCGGGAGATCAATTTTGGTCCCAAACTCTAGCAATCTGACATCTAAGATACTACTTTTATCAGGCGAGCAGTAGCCATGTGGTATTAGACTGTCCTGCATTTGCTATTTGTATTACGCATGTACATACAGGTGGAGAAGTTCCTTTACCATTACAAGCTATGAAAACACAAGACAGAGACACAGTTACTCACCAGTAAGTATTTTAAAACGATTTCATGGTAAAACCTTACTGATTGGTTTTAGAGGCAGTTGCACATGTGCAGCCCATGCTGTCTTTATGACAGATAGTAACTCTACGTATCATGTGCGTTAATCTTACCCACCATATCTACGGGTGTCATCTTTGTGCTCTGGAAAAGGGAAATTATTTTTGAGCTCCTGCAGTAAAGATGCAGCATGCCATGTTTTTTTTTTTTTTTGTTTTTGTTTAAGCAGGCAACAAAAACAGTCTAACACTAGCCCACATTTCCTTTTGTCTGTTTTGGTAGATCTTTTAGATTATATGCCTACATTTCCTACCTGAGTCATAGGGGTAGCAATTACTTACAGACCTAGAGGTCAGTCTGAATGATGTGAAAGGTCTTTTCTAGACTTTTTTTTTTTTTTCACCTGGAAGCATCCAAGGAGCATCATGAAAATTAAAT